AACTGAACTCTATCAATAAGACTCTCAAGGTCACTGAAGGATGATGAAAGCTTCAAATTCTGTGACATATCCCACAATGCCGGCACCTTTGAAGTGCAGGAGTGCAACAGGGTACTGTTCATACTGCATGAATAATAAATGAAGCATGAGGTGACTGAGTCACAGGCAAGTTGGCTTGTTTTTGTCACTGTTGCGAAAACTTTCAGTCGCACAAAAAAATAAATGATCCTAATTTTATGGTGTTTGTAGCACCATACGATGAACGGACATATTTACAGATATTGTGTCCAAGCTGCATAGAACATATGTACAGCAAGACAAAAGATGTAACATTATTGCATCTTTATTCACCAGGACTGAGGTAAAGTTTTAAGATATGCAGAATAATGATTATAAATATTTGATTATTATAATTGAATTCCAGATGTGTACTGTAGTGTTTTTCTCAGCTGTTTTTATTAGGAACTTAATCTGCATATTGCTCTACTTAAGGTCTTCTTACTTCCCTGATCTTTAAATATTTGATCAATTAAAGAAAAATTCAAAAACTGTAAGAGTTTCTCAGAATTCACTGATATGGCTGCTGACAAGATCATTTCAGTCCAATGGGGCTGAGGGTTTCTGTGCTACATTTAAAATTGATATTTTTCATGTCTCTGTTAACTAAAAAATATTAGAATAAGTCTTGTATCTATCTGGTTATCTGTTGTTTTTTCTCTGTTGGTTTAGCTCATTTCTTAAAACAGAAATTACATTCTCAAAACTCAAATGTCATTTGTCAAAACAGTCTTATAATTTAGCAAAACACAATATTTTCCTTTCAGAAAGATTAATTTCTTCCAAAACTGTTCATTTTTGCCAAAAATGCCAAGATTACTCTCAATTCTTTACGGCACCTTTTAAAACAGACTGGATGTTGTCACCACTCTGTGCTTTTCCAAAAAACAACCTGGATGATTCAGCACAACAAGATGTTTAATCAGCAGAAACTTGTCTTTGTACCAAAACGGTTTCTTTGTGCATCAAAACAAAGTTTCTGTCTCATACAGAATGCCAGTTCCTCCAAAACGCATCATCCTTTTGGCTTTGTGTGAGCACTGCAAGTCAGAATGTTTAGATGTTTTGTCACTGTGGCAGAGGACCATTGAAATGTACCTCCTTTTAGATATGATTACCATACTCATTTCAACGGAATACAAGTATAAGAAAGTGGTGATAGAATTTATCTACAGGAGTGACAGCCAAGATTTGACAAGATTGCACACATACTACCAAGGAAATCAATACAATTATTATTTATACAATGCAACTTCAGAGTGACAGAAAAAAAATATGGAAGTGAAATATTGACAGCATAGGTGACTGGTGGGAACAAAAATAATATTTGTGGGCTGCCTGTAAATAAAGGTTAGGGTTTACACATCTTTACTGCTCCCTGTCCTCGACTTTATCCCCCTGGCCACCATTGGCCACCACCTTCAAGTGTATCTGGCTGCAGATTGCAAGACAGAAGCATGTCATGTGTCGTATGAAACAGGGAAATCAAGAAAAAGGACATATTTACAATTCAAACTTCTGGAAGTACTTTAAATGTGAAATTATTACATACTGTTCAATAAAAAATAAGCTTTTTTAATTAAGAGTAATTTTCATTTGAATGTGCTTTACTGGAGACATTCATTTTTGTCAAAGAACACTACTGCCACCTACCGGACTGTGGCTCCTTCTACCGCACCTTGTGGCGTCACGGTGCGGTATCGGCTGTTGAGCAAGTCCCAGTGCTGTATCTGGTGTTTGTTGCAATGTGCTATTATCTAAGTCATCTTGAAAACATTCTTCTTCTAAATGTTGGCTACATATTACATGTTTTTTCAGGCAAATCCCCCTTCTTCAAGTTGGCAATCCAACAACAAACCCCTCGGTGGTGGATCATGAACTGGAAAGGTGAAATAACTAATGTTTTTTTCCTGTTACTCAATGTATTACAACATCCAACTGCCATACACATGGGTATTGTCACTTTAATACACATGGGTATTGTCACTATAGTTCTCATGAACTTCAATGGTTAAGTCCTCTCAAAATCTTAAATAACTGTTGTTGATTGCAGGCTTTTCCAGTAGTTCCTACTGTATTGATTTTGCTTGTAAAGCGGGGAGAAAGGCGCTAGGCTTACCGCACCGTGACTTTACTGCAGGAAGATGTCAGGAGTGAGGTGTTATTATATTTGGGCAAAAATTGCCTATCCCGGACTCAGTGATCACAACGAAAAATATTGTTTTTATTTTATTTTTTATGATTAACGCTAAATTCATGAAATCACCATGAATGTATTAGTTTTAGGTATAGATAATGATCCATTGGCTCTTCCTTGCTGACCGGACTTTTCCTTTAAATAAAATAAAGTATCCTTGAAAATGTAATTTGTTTCATTAACTCACTTTCCTAATTTAAGCACATTGCATAAATGAATCACACATATTTGTATTTTCCAGCCTTTGTTTCTGTTAAAATTTGTTCCTGTTTACACTTAATGAAAAGGTAAAATTTAATACAAATAAGAAAAGCATAAGTAAGCAAATAAGTAAAACTCTCAAAGGAGAAATTGGAGCTCTTATAAAAGAAAATTCTGTGAGGACAAATTATACTTGAAATATACCATTTATTATTTACACAAAGTGCTGCCTGTGTCAGTTTAATTGATGAAAAGGGTGGATGGTCTGTTTGATTGTCATCAGTGGTCTTAATATGATCTTGTTTGTGTTAGGATACGTCTAAGGATATTTCTGAGGATATTTCTAAGGATATGTGTATGTTTCTATTTACAATTGGTACTTTTGATCCGACAAACAAGCCTCATCAGAATGCATATACTGTAGTATTAAATATGACTATAGATAAAAAGCCACATTTGAATAAAAAAACCTCAAGCAGTTGTCAGTTTTCAACATCTTAAAGCACTAGGATACAATGCTGGTATTTCTTACCTTGGGCTTCATCTATTTTTTTCTAATTCTCCACGGCGGCCACCATTGTTAATATGCCAGACAGGTTTGGCCTTGTGCACTGGCCAACACAGGGCTAGATGACTCAGTGCTAAGGGTCTCATTAGATACAGAAACACCAGTCAGGAGGAAACAACAGCATACCACTGATAAGGCCATGCACAGTACTGCACTGAGAGACCTTGTCAAGCAAACTCAACTATCAAATTATGAGGAGACTATGAAGCATGACATTCCCATATTTTAGCTTTTAAAGTCCATGTTTGCAGATGTTAGCAGCGTGTTCCTGCTTGTATTTTGATTAAACAGAATTATTTCCCTTACCAAAAATGATTACAGATATTGCTGCAACTAGTTAGGTAAAAAGGTAGTTCCCTCTTGCAGAAAATAGTCTATGGTATATAGTTAATATGAAAGGTTCTTTGTTTATTCAACTTTGAAATTCTTTTTTTTGGTGTAGAAACCTTAGCAAAGTTTTTAAAGTCTTATTTCAATTCAGTTTATTTATATATTGCCAATTCACAAGTTCATCTGAAGGCACTTTACAGAGAAAAATTCAACAAGATCATATAGTCAGATTGGTTCAAAGTTTGCCATCTAAGGAAAACCAGTTGATTGCATCGACTTTTTTACCCTCTGCATCCCTCACACCAAACATGCTTGTAGCGACAGTGGAGAGGAAAAACTCCTTTTAACAGGAAGAAACCTCCAGCAGAACCAGGTTCGGTGTGAGTGGCCATCTGCCGAGGCCGACAGGGTTCAAGGAGACAGAAGGGGACATAACGAAAGAAGCTGAGATACAAAAGGTAACTGTTAAGCAGCTCTACAGGACGCACACAGCCAGGCAGACGAGTTGTTTATATATGTTAAAGAATATAAGACAAATAAAATGTGATCCTTTTATTTATATGTCTTTTGTTTTTTTGTACAAAAATATAAAACACATTGGTGTTTGTGTAATTTATTTAAAAGTTTGCCTGCAACGTTATATTGTCTAGTAACATTTTGGGGGGGATTGAAACAGAAAGTAGCCAAAAACAAGTCAATCCAGACGAGATTAAATACTCTTTAAGTTTTCCTTTGTCGGGCTTAGCTTCCAACTTCCAAACAATAAAGGATTCCCCTTACTTTTATTTTTAGAAAGTGCATTCTCCAATCAGACATTCACTGATCTGCTTAATGGTAATCTTTTTCCACATTTGCAGAAGAAGAAATCCTGGAAAATTTAGTGACTGACTCTTAACAAAATGCATAATAAGATTTAATGAATCTTCAACATCAGGTAAACAGAAGAGGATCAGGGTTGTAAAGAAACTTGGACTGAGCAGAGTTAACCATTATTACCTGGAAGTGGTTTACTCTGTAACAAAATACCAGTAACTCTGAAACCCGTAGTCTAATCCCACAGGCATTTGATGTAATATGTCATCGAGGTAATATAGTCTGCTTGGCTGAGTATCCAATAAACACTCCTGTTGTCAAAACCCATCAGTGTGTCTCTACGGACTTCTGAAAATGGACAGATGTTGGTCTGACTCCAGCTTAAACCACCTGCACCAAAGCAGTTTTATTGCTGCTTCTATGCTATTTGCATTTCTTCATAATTCATGTTTAATGTTTGAAAACAAACTATTCTTTTGATTTTCTATTCCAGTTCTTTTCAAAAGACATAGAGATGGGTGAAAATTAGAGATGCAGGCTTAAATAGACAAACCACTCTTCCTTATGGAATATATCATATCATATCCAGCCATACAAACTTTTTATATCATATACTATATCTTTTAAATTTTTGGGGTTGCTTGCCTCTTTTTCAATTAACCTGCACAAATTAGAGCAAGTAAAAAAAAAATCAGGATTCATTTTAGGATTTAGGATTTAGGTTTAGGATTCATTCCTTCATTATTTGTCAACTTTTTCTAGTTAGGAGTTGAAAAACAATAATCTTTCATTTGTCATCACAGTTTTTACATACCATCCTTGTGAAGCAGATGACAGCCTACTGTGCCTGGAGAGCCATATGGGGCTAAGGGTCTTGCTCAGGGACTCAGGCAGTCTGTGGCAATAAACCAGATGATTGCAGTGATTTCAGAAAGAAAGCACTCTCTGTAAACCCCTATAATTTGATGTTCTGAAGTCTGAACCACAAGATAACATTAAATGTTCCTTTGTGGATTACTAATGCAATAAATTTGAATATAGTCTACTAGTTCAGTCTGTTTCTTCTCAGATTATAAAGGGTTTTTATACTTTATGGTCTGATAAGGCAGCTTTATTTGCATTGCCCCATCCGCAGACAGGATAAGTGAAAGTGTTTTAGAGAAAAATAAGGGGTCAGAAAAAACAAAAACAAAACAAACCCCCCAAAAAACAAACAAAACTGAAATTAAATTCAAAACATATAATGCACTTTAAAAACAAAGTATTGTTTAAAAAGATAGACATAATTAGATAAAGAACACAGGCCATTTAGTTTAACATAACTTGAAACTTCCCAGATCAAGACGTGGAAGCTACTCTTATTTTGGAAAATTAATATTGTCTTGCATTACCTTTGAAGTGGCCAGTATAGATATATAATAATAATAATAATAATAATAATAATAATAATAATAATAATAATAATAATAATAATAATAATAATAATAATAATAATAATAATATATGTCCATTTAGTATAAAATAAAACAATTAATTAGCTGCATCAGTTTACCCTTTTTACTACCTTATGCTCCATCAAATGTATAACAGTTGTACAAATGGTCAGTGAAAATTATTTCATGTTTCTCCCTGAAGGCTAAATAATTGGTTCAGGGGTGCTGCAGGCATATTACTGTCTGCTGCCAGAATTGCAAAAGCAGTGTAGCTCTGAGGATGAATGACTTCTGCTTGAATGGAAAGTCAAAGCCATGAAAGGTAATAGTTAAATGTATTACAGGTATACAGCCTCATGTTAAATTGAATTCATTTCATCCAATGCATTTTATATGATTTCAGCCACCATAAGAAAGCCATTTTAAAGGCTCTTTTTATAGCCATGGTCAAAAATAAAATAAAATCAATTGCTTATTTTTTGGTTGTTGTTATAGTTTACTTTACAAACAAGCTTGGTTATGCCCTTTTGAATCAAGCATATTGTGTGACCCTTTGAGAGTGGCCATTATACAAAGATAAGATTCTGAGACATTTATTTGGAAATAATAATAATAAAAATAACTACTTAAATAAAATAACAATTATAATAATACACAGGATTTTTAGTTCACTTTACATAGGTAGCCTCAAAGGGCTACGAACAATGGTAAAAGGAAATACAATGATAACTATTTAAATGATAAGATAAAATATCATAAATCATGAAAAAGTTGTCTTTGTTTGTTGATTGATCTCTCCACCCATCGGCCTATCAGTTGCCCAGCAACAAGAGAAGGCGCCATTGCCAGGTTTACAGCAGATTACACTCTAAACAGCTGGATTTACCTCCACAAACTCATCTTAACTGCCACTTGAACCAATTAACTGCCAGACAAAGTAGGCCCACAATAACTTAATGAGACATAATACATCCGCTTGCCATAAATAGACATGTACACCTTCCCATATAATACTATTCCAATATTGTTGTTTCTGATGACCCAAATATATTTATATAAACACAAAATCTCTCTTCATCATCTGGCACTTTATCAGTGTCTTCTTTGTGGCCACAATTACAATAGAATGTTTTGTGTATGAACTTGCACTTTACTTCCAAAAGTGCCACAAAAAAAAAAAAAAAAAAAAAATGCAAAAGCTGCAGCCACAGTTAAGTTTCAGATTGCTGTTCACATGTGAAATATTGACATTTGCATATCATCCCTTCCCATAATTTTGGATGTTCTGGTCATTAGAATAAGATCTGCATATTGATGAAGGCAAACACTCAAAAAAAGTTTTTGTGTGTTAAAACTGTGTTTTAAGATGCACAATATTTTATTGATCAGGCCTAAAAAGAACAAAAAACACCATTTTAAAAACACTTTAAATTCAACAAATTATAAGAACAATTGTCGACAAACATCCAACAGAGGAGGTCTATGTGCCTTGTTAAGGATACATGATCAATGAAACCAGAGTCTGTTAGGTCTAAAAAGGCGTCTGGAAGCAGCTGCACTACATCAGCTCTTTTTTTCACATCTAATTAGGAAAGCCAATGAACCAATACAGGAGGTTCATTGTCAGCGTTAGCATTTTATCTGATGGCTTGGTACTTAGAAAGTAAAAACCTTTGACCACTTCTCTGCAAACTCCTCTTACTGATATTTTAAAACTGTATTAATTTTATGGGCATAAGTTCATTATATTTTCCAGTGCTATATATCACTAGGCAATATGGCACTTTGTACTAAACACTAAGAGACAATCAGATTTAGAGACTTAGACAAACTTTATTGTGATCTTGGATAGACAGAGTGACTACAAAACAACATTTCAATGCATACAGCTTTTCAACACTTAATGATAAGCTTACAGCAGTGAAATGAGCATTACCATTTATAAAGTGCAGCAGTGATTGGAATGTAGCCAGTGTACGACAAAAGAAAAAAACTGTATAAAGTCATGGTGCAAAAGGCATTGATATAGAAAGGTTTGATGCAGTGCAAAGTAGATGAATATGGTGCAAAATGCAGTAGAACATTGAGTTGAGTTCAATTTAGGGATTATGGAATTATGGATTAAGGGATTATGAAACAAACAGCCATGTTGGTAGTGCAAATATGATGTTTACAGTATGCAGAGACTTGATTAGAGTTACAGCAGTTCAGCAATGAGTTGTAAACTTTACCTTTTTCATAGCACACCTTTTCGAGCTTCAGGTTATCTTAGGTCAGTGTTTCAAAAGTGGTGTTTAATTAGAAATGCTAAGACAGACAGACAGACAGACAGACAGACAGACAGACAGACAGACAGACAGACAGACAGACAGAACGATACTGTCCCTTAAATGCAAATATTAGGCAATGTAAACCACAGTTATTTGTGTCAATAACACAGGGAAATGTTAGATTACCAAGATGATGATGGTTCTTTCATCACTCTGGGATTTTATTGCCAGTTTTGCAAACAGTTTATGTCATTAGTATATTAAATGAGTTTATTATTATTATCTATCTCTTACCTTGAGTTGTCTTTTAGATCGAGAAGAAGCCTTAATTAGAAAGATAAATATCAGATTCTTATAATGTTAGTTTTTTTTTTTTTCTAGCACCAGAATAACGAGAAACATGTGCCCTTTTTCAGCTTGTATTTTCATTACACTGCTACAAGTACAGAGCAACAAAATTAAAGTTCTGCATTTAACCCATTCCCATAGGGAGCAGTGGGCTGCCATTGTGTGGCGCCCAGGGAGCAGTGTGGGTTTAAGGGTCTTGTTCAGGGACCCAGAGTGGCAGGCTGTGGTAGTGGGGCTTGAACTCAGAACCTCTGGATTCCAAGCACAATGCCCTAACCACTAAGCCGCCACTCAAATAGCAGTTGCCTTATCAGACATCAGGTAAAAAAGCTAGCTTGAATCCAGATCTGGCCCGGATGTCCTGAAATTTATTGTTTGTGCACTGACTTTGGATTTGACAAAAAAACAGTTGACCAACAGCATTAGATAACATGGCTATCCTTCAGTTTGTGCTTTTTGAGCTACTTAAAGTTGCATATTTTCATTCAGTGTTTTTTCCTTCCACTTTCCTTCCAAATAATATCTTAAAACTGAACAGTAATCCAGCAAAAAACAGACAAAAAAAAATCATCTTGTAGTTTTTGCTCCCAATGTAGAGTGGCAGTGGTTGTTCACTAGAAAACCAGCACCTCAACAGTCTTTTATGGAAGTCTTTAGATCGTACCACGGTCCAGTATAAGACTCCTGTTAAAACTGTTTCTTTTTAGTCTAATATAATACTCAAATTTTACTTAGCTGTTCACAGTTGTTTTATTAAAAAATGTCAAAAAAATTTATAAAAAGAATAAGTTTACGTTTTTCTAAATATATGAGTAAAATATTGAGATAATGTGTTGATTATACTACACTGTATAACCTGCTAATAAACAGTAAAATGTGTATGCATTTGAATGAATTCACCATCATAGGTTAGACAAGGCCTAATGAGGAGAAATATGGAGTTGGACATGTTTATCAGTAGCACATTCTCTACAGTAGCACTGTAGAGAATGTGCTACTCTGCTGAGGCCGACTGGGGTTCAAGGAGACAGAAGCAGACATACAAAAAGCAGCTGTAAAAGGCGGCTCCATCCAGGAAACACACAGCCAGGCAGATGAGCTCCAAGCCAACTTCCATGTCAGAGGAAGAAGAGAGCACATCCAGCCAGTCACAGTCAGAGAAACAGGACTACACTGGAAAAACAGGCCGTTCTTCAACATCTATAAACAAAGGTGTTGATGGCAGCAGCACAGCTGATATATCTCTCCAGGAAGGTGTCACAGCCAAACAGGAACAGACGAGGCAAAGCTACTATGAGAAAAGGCAGAGAGAGCAGAACGTTAGAGATTAAACTAACAGATTTTGCAGATTGAAAGAATAGAGATAGAATGAAGCAAAATGATGAAATTGGGGTCCCTATGTCCTCCAGAAGTCTAAGCCTATAGCAGCATAACAATAGAGATAGCTCAGGATAACCTGAGCCACTCTAACTATAAGGCTTATAATAAGCTTTATCAAAAAGGAAAGTTTTAAGCCTAGTCTTAAAAGTAGACAGGGTTTCTGCCTCACAAACTAAAACTGGTAGTTTATTGTGTTGGGTTACGGTAAACATTTTTTATTTTAATTATTTTTTTTTTTCTGGGGGTGAGTCTTGTTTCCTTGTTAAACTCCTTATCAGTTGGTGTCAGTAATGCACTTTTAACTAGTTTGCCAACCACCATAAAACCTCACAAGAAGAAGAAGAAGTTGAGTGACGTCAGTCCGAGCGGGAGCTTATTTAATTCAGAAACAAAAGTGGAATCCTTCTATCTATCCTTAGGCATTTGCCATTTCTCTGAAAAACATGGCCCAGCACATCGAAGAGGATTTACCGCCCAACCTTGCGTGTTTAAAAGTAAGCCAACTCCATTGATTGTCCAGAAATGTCCGTGCTTTGATTTTAAAAACAGCTATAGCTATATATCCCCAGAGCGTCAGGTTTATAAACAACAAACGTAAACCTCCGATCAAAACACGGTTTGAAATGATAGTTTTACTTCTATAACTAAACCTAGCTAGCTTTACAGTTAGAACATGCTCATTTTTGGTTTTACAGCGTAAATGTTGACAAACGTCACAACTCCGGTATGCTTGAACCCTGCGGCTTTTTAAAAACAGCATCAAATCTAATAAAAAGTTATTGTTAGAAAACAAGTAACAGATGATGCACAATGAGGGAAAAAGAGTAGTAAGGAATCCGATTCAGAGCAGGTCTGTTGATCCCAATAAAACAGTCACCTAAGATTCAGATTCATCTAAATAAAGTTTAGTTTAACCCAAGCTTTTAGGCAAAGCAGTCAAATTCAATTTGTTGAGGATAACAGAACAATTGTAATGTAGATTTTTTCCTAAATATTATAATCATTATAATCACTTTTATAGCAATTCTCCCACCATGTAAAAGCAATGCCCTTAAAGGAGTATTTAGAGGATTTAAGTAAATTATTATAGTTGTTGACATGCTCAATCCACCTTTGTTTAAAGTTTATTTACTTGATGTTAAGTATTGTTGTCTATGAGATCTATCACTGATCGTGCTTTTTCTATCTTTCCACACTATAAAATAGATAATGAAAGTATGTCTGATAAATGCTAATATCATATGTCGTCAATATTGGTATTGGTTAATGCTTAAAGCTGAACTATCTGAAATTAAAAAAGTTATATAGGGACAGTCCTAGTACTAAAGGTGTCACATCTGAGGGTTAATTGTCTGTGAAACTTTGTTTTCCTGCAGATCCTTAAAAAGCCTTAAAAGGCGTTGAATTCTTCAATATAAAAATAATGCAAGGCAAGGTAAATTTATTTGTATAGCATAATTCAGTACAAAGGCAATGCAAAGTGCTTTACATGATTAAAATATAGGAAAATAAAACAGAATCAAAGCAAGTAAGAAAAAATAAAATAAAATAAAAAATGCTGAAACAAAAAAGAATATAAAAAAAAATGGACTAAAGAAAATAAAAAAATTTGAACTAGCACTGTATTCCAGAGAAGCAGCAGCTATTTCTCAGTTCTATTCCACCCTTGTCTCTGCAAAGCCTCTACAGCTTCTCAGACATCAAAAAAGCACCAGCAGCATCAAATCTCCAGATAATGTTTGGCGGTACGCCTGCAATGAAAGCAGAGCTATTATGGACTCTGAATAGGGATCAAAACAAAGTTTGTGAATTCCATTCATTAGTTGTTAAAAATATATCTGTTGTCTGTTTTTAGCTTTCTTGCTATATGGAAAGTTTTTCAAAATTGTAAAAATTTCTACTGGACCTAAAAGTAATGGTTTATATTAAAATACGCATCAGGTTAAATTTGTCGAAACCAGGTTTTCTTTTATTTATTGTAAAGTTGGTTTTAAAATTTTATTTCAAGGGACAAAAAAAAAAGTCTGAAATTTAACTAGCCTTATGTTGTAGGAACCCTGGGATTTGTTTGACAAATTTAATTGACAGGAAACATATTGTGCATACCTCACCTTAAAAAAGAAATGATCAGAGTGACCCAGTGGCACTGATCCACATGCAGCTGCAGCTACACACCGGTGCTTTGGGGGATCAGATGTTTGGGAATCCTTTTGAACCTGGACACTTCATCCCTGCCTTCAAAGGTTGCTCTCTGTCTACTGGTGGGACGGAAGCCCATGTGTTAACTTGACTGCAAGTACCGACTGGTTAGTCTGAAGGGTGTAGAATTCATGATTTTATAGCACTTTCTCGCATGTAAGTGCAAAGAAGGAGGAAAATGTTTTTAAAAGTACCTTATCTGGCCATAATGTTCATTAAAACTTAGCTTGTCAACCTAACTTCAGTGTTACTTTAAAAACGTTCAACATAGCTAGCAGGTTTACTAAAAAGCGCTGGACAGAGCCCTGTGGGAGAGAAGCCAGACGTCATTCAAAGGGACGATACGCTCATGAAAAAGTGGCCCAAATTTCAGTAAAGCTGTTACAAAAATCCTGGTTACCTAAAAATTATATAACTTTTGACTGCATCTTCCTGGCCTTGGTGTATAAAACCTAGGACTCCCAAACGTCCTGTGCATTCAAGCTGCTTAAAGTCTGCAAGATGGTCTTCATGTAAGCTCGATCACGCTTGATCTACATAGAGATTAATTTTGGGTGTTGAAGAGCAGGTCCCCCCACCCCATCCCCCATTATAATGACAGCATGGGAAATGCTGGATTTAAGAACACTATTTTGGTTGATTTTGATCCAGCTTCAGACCAGCATTCATGTTATATAACTGGACATAAACTGAATTATTAATCGATTCCTCGGAAAAAATGATCGAGAGATTAATCGATTTGCAAAATAATCGTTTGTTGCAGCCCTAATATATATATATATATATGTATATCTATGTGCATTTAATATGAGAAATGAGAATCAAGTTTTGTTTTTTGTTTTTTTGTCTTTTTTTTGTCCTTTACAGTACAATTAAGATGTGCATCTTTTTGTCTTTTTTTGTGAAACACTTGTTTAGCAAGGTTTGCCTTTTTATATGCGTGGGATCTTTTCAAATGAATTAGATTAATAATAACTAGATTACCGGTAATCAAATACTAAAATAATTGACATGATTAGGGTAAGGCTAGGTTTAGGGGATTTGAAATATCCATTGGTGACTTTAGCTCATTCTAATAAAGGCTATTCTAGTGTCACAAACCTGTTTTTTGTTTATTAAAAACATTTCAAACAATTATTTTAAGGATAACAATAATTATTGAGCCATCAGCCAAAGTATGTTTTTACAGACATTTAAGATGCACCAAACCAATAACCAGTGAAGGAACAGAGCTGGTTAACCTCACTCCTCTATGTCTGTTGATTGGCTGATAAATAATAAAATGTCTGATTATTTATTCATTTTTTTTCCCTGTTGATGTTAAGCATAACTAAACTGTTTTCTTTATTGTGATGAACTTGAGTAAAAAAGAATGGTAAAGCGTGAGGGAACTATGTTGTGTTGCTGAAAACTTTACATAAATCCAGAATCCGATTTCCATTAATCTATAATGAGCACGATCAATATACATGTCTTTTACATCATTGCTTAACACTTTTTTATGTCAGTATAATTTTGACATTTTTGCTACTTTGACTTTTTTTTTTTCACAGAATATTGACACCCTGCTGCGATGTCCAATTTGCTTTGATTTCCTCAACATTACAATGATGACTAAGTGCTCCCACAATTGTAAGTATTCAGCAGAACTTTTCTTAAAGTTACTGTGATTCAAACATTTCATGTTAGGATTTTTGCATAATCTTGTGCACAAATTGAGCAGAGTGAAGTCTGTAGTCTTGCAAAAGTCAGGCTGTTTCAGGAAACAATTGGAATTAACTTTAAATGGGAGCGGAAAATGCTTTTAAAGTGAGAGCCTGAATTTGATGTGTAGCGTATTCGGCTGGAAAGCATAACCATTAAAGAGAACAAAGCTGTAGAGGCTTTTCGAGAGCTACCGTAAAATTATTGGGGACTTTACTTCAAGTCGAACATATTTTCTTACTGCAGGAGATTTTAAGTTAAATCTATTCGTTTGTCAGAGGTTCATGTAGGATTTAAGTTTTTCATTATCAAATAGCATTTTTTTTGTTGCACAATTTGCAAGGTCCTCACTACGATGGCAGAACGAGTGTGTGAGTGTGTGTGAATGGTTGTTTTTCCTGTTTGTCTCTGTGTTGCCCTGCGATCGACTGGCGACCTGTCTAGGGTGTACCCTGCCTCTCGCCTGTAGACAGCTGGAGATGGGAACCAGCACCCCTCGCGACCCTGCTTCGGATAAATGTGACAGAAAATGGATGGATGGAATTTATCAATAGGAGTATTTATTATTTAATTTTGAATGAAACGGCTCTCCAAGGTTTAGCCATCAGCCCTGTAAGCTCTTGTTTTTTTTTCTTTTAGACTGCTGGATACATTTTAAACCAAAACACATTGACCTCTGGGACACAGAAACAGTCTCTTTAATAAGCAATGTGATGTCTGGACGACCCCATGCTGTTTTTAAAAGAAAACTTTTCTTTTTTAAATACTGTCTTACATTTCTTTTGGCTTGGGAACTTTGAAAAGTGCACCCCTGAATGAGTCACTGAGCCTTAAAGCACCACATGATGAAGAGAGACCCCTTGCAGCCTGTCTCTCTGTCCGTCATTGAAATGCTACCATTTTCAAGCATTTTGGCTTACAAAGGGGAGATGTAGACACATTATGGAAAACCACAGCAGGACGGGAAGGTTGCTGTTGTCTGGGGAATAACAGTCAGCTGACCATAACTTTTATGTTTGAAGTATTTCTTATTTTAAAAAATCCATTTTAAACTTTCCTTAGCCACCATGCCATGCTTCAATCTCAGAGGACATATGCAGCTTTTATGCTGTTTGGAAAGAATATGTTTAAATCAGGAAAGGTTTTTTTTTTTTTAGACTTTCCATATATTTTGGTTTATTGCATTGCACAGATGTTTTCTTCTGGTCTTATTTAGTTTATAATGATAAACATTTTAATACACAAAAGTGCTAGTACTTCCTGCTGAGGATGAGGATAGCCTACCTGCCTCCACACGTCCTCATGACCCGCTACAGAAGCACCATAGAGAGATTTCTGTTCAGCTGTCTCACTGTGTGGTGTGGAGGCTGCAGCGCCTCAGACTGGAAGAGTTGTGAGAAAGCAGAGAGGATCATCAAGGCTCCTCTTCCCTCCATTAAAGACATTTCATCCCAGCGCTGTATGTCCTGAGCCCGTAACATGATCAATGATCCTCACATCCCCACCGTGGGCTGTTTTCTCCTCTGCCCTCTGGGAAGAGACTTCTAAGTATCTGATGCAGCTCCAGCAGATTCTGCAATAGTTTCTTCCCCACTACCATCAGCCTGCTGAACTGTTGAAAAAAAAAAAAATCTCTATCATATCACAGTCGCTGCATCACACTGATAACACCAAACCAAAAATACTGCACATCTGCACCATATATATATTAATGCTTCAAACTTCCACATCAGTGCGTTTTTTTGCTAGCCTGATGTAGTCCTACTCAGTTCTAGTCAGAATATGAGTCTGATACTGCTCCATAGAGCTGTGATTATGGGGCGTGTTTTGAATGAACCAGGAAAGAAAATGCCTCTGCACTCAATTGGATAGACCTACAACCAATAAGAGCAACGGAGTGCGTGACGTATGTTAAGCGACCAAGGGAGCCAGCTGATAAATTAAACTTTTGCCG